TATTACCAAAAAAAAAAAAAAAAAAAGACTTCGCAGCGCTGTTAAGAGGTAATAAACAGCTCTTCGCAGATGTTCACAACAGAACAAAGCATACGGGCCCCAAAGGTTGTCTGCTTTCAAACCTTCTTATTTTTCTTTTTTTTTCTTTTTTTTTCTTTTTTTTCTTTTTTTTTTCTTTTTTTCCTTTTTTTTCTTTTTTTAATATCGTGTGGCCCGATGGACCATGGATCAGATATTCAACAGATCTTAGCAAACCTTTGGGCCCGGATGGAACCGGATGAAGGTTATGTCACTTGATCTTATTAGGCAAAACAAAGAGGACAAGACCTCCGACAGGAGCCTCAACAGTCTCTTTTTTTAAGTTTTTTCCTTTTCTCTTTTCTCTTTTCTCTTTTCCCTTTTATTTTCGTTTTTCTCAATGCACACGACGGATGATCAGATAGTAATGTTTAAACTCATCAGAAGAAGATTCCGAACAGAGAGCACACTTGTATCTTTCGCCGACCAAAAGACCGAGAAAAACTTGTTACCTTGGACGGAGCCCATTCTCAACGCTCATCAGAAGCATGTCCGGAAAGCTTGATGCAATCCTTCCTATATGGTGGGCATGAACTCCCACCTCCTTCACTAAGAAATCCACTTTCCTTCGAAGAGTCTTATCGACGTCAGCTGTCAGAAGCTCGGGGACCCTCATCAAAACTTTAGGAAGCTTCTCATCCGGGACATCCAATTCCAACAGAAAGTCGACTACCTGCAAAAGCACAACACGCCATGCTCGTGTTAACAAGCTGTTTTGGCACAAAACACCATATCCAGTGGACAATCCCGAGTTAATAAGCTCGAGGTAACAAGCTACGGTAGGGTTAACAGTCTCGAGTCGAGTGAACAAGCTCGGGTTAAGGTTACTCAGTTCACCCTAGCTTCTCAGGCTGCATTGGTTTACACGACGCCAAGCAACACTCCGAATCCGGAATCACTTCTTCTCTTTTGTGGAACATCGACCACAAATGGTTAACAGGTACCCCCACTTTTCAACCCTAGGGTAACCTTCTTATAAATGGGGGAGAAAATTGGGGGGGTCGGTTAACCTTCTGTCCAAAAGAGAAGTGATTCCGGATTTTCCTTTAAGAGGTTTAAGTCTATCTCCTCGTCGAGAAGGATAACACAAGATTTCTGAAAAACGTACAAAGCCGCGCCATCGTAGCGCCTTGTGTGCGAGCCCTGTAAGTGGCCATCAGCTTCTGCTAGAAATAGGCAAACTGAACCCGCACACACAAACAAACTCTTAGTTGGCAAGCTACGCGAGGACGAGGCTGTCACCAATTCTTCACTTACAGTATGAAAACAGCCATTCATCTTAATCCCCAGACACTTGCAACACTCAACCGAGAAGCCAGAAGAGAGAGAGAGAGAGAGAGAGAGAGAGAGAGAGAGAGAGAGAGAGAGAGAGAGAGAGAGAGAGAGAGAGAGAGAGAGAGAGAGAGA